ACAGGCCGCGCCCTCTGACATGGTTTGCCCCATAGCAGACGCCCGTCTGAGATGATCCAGAGCAAGTAGGCGATGCAGAAGAGGATTGGAGAATGTCATATGGTCAGATGAAACAAAAATAGAATTTTTTGGCTGAAAAACTCAACTACGACGTCGCTTTGTGAGGAGAAAGAATGCTGAGTTGCATCCAAAGAACACCTACTGTGAAACATGGGGGGGGAAACATCATGCTTTGGGGGTGTTGTTCTGCAAAGGGACCAGGACCACTGATCCGTGTAAAGGAAAGAATGAATGGGGCCATGTATCGTGAGATTTTGAGTGACAACCTCCTTCCATCAGCAAGGGCATTGAAGATGAAACGTGGCTGGGTCTTTCAGCATGACAATGATCCCAAACACACCGCCCGGGCAACGAAGGAGTGGCTTCGTAAGAAGCATTTCAAGGTCCTGGAGTGGCCTAGTCAGTCTCCAGATCTTAACCCCATAGAAAATCTTTGGAGGGAGTTGAAAGTCCGTGTTGCCCAGCCCCAAAGCATCACTGCTCTAGAGGAGATCTGCATGGAGGAATGGGCCAAAATACCAGCAACAGTGTGAAAACCTTGTGAAGACTTACAGAAAACGTTTTACCTCTGTCATTGCCAACAAAGGGTATATAACAGAGTATTGAGATGAACTTTTGTTATTGACCAAATACTTATTTTCCACCATAATTTGCAAATAAATTCTTTAAAGATCAGACAATGTGATTTTCTGGATTTTTTTTCTTCTCATTTTGTCTCTCATAGTTGAGGTATACCTAGGATGACAATTACAGGCCTCTCATCTTTTTAAGTGGGAGAACTTGCACAATTGGTGGCTGACTAAATACTTGTTTGCCCCACTGTACTTATATCCAACATTTCCACAATACAACTTAAAGCATCTGCTCATCATTGTCCTACTCACCTGCAATGATTGTATTTACCGTCATATGAGACATTGGTGGAATGCCCCTTTAAGTTCACCTTTAACTTTTTTTATTTATTTTTTATTTATTGTACAGGCTACAGACACAAAACATGGACATTACAATAACAAAAAAAGACATTCCTATCTCAGACAAAAAATAAAATCAAAAAAATAAAATACAGTCAGTTGGTCACTTCAACATTTCATTAACAAAACAAAAAAATAGGTTGACAGTCCAATATCATCAAAAGCATTTATTATTCCTTATTCCTGTGAGTAGACTTTACATGTTCCTGTATTAAGATTTTATGCACCTCAACAATTTGGGGATCACAGCAGGTGAATCCTTTCCTAGAAATATTAACATATAATATTTGGTATGTTTTTTTAATGATATTTTATATTGTAGATTTGTGAGTCTTTAATTCCCTTCATAATATTTAATTGATTGACCAAAAATTGCAGGGAAAATGTCAAAGTGTTTAGTGAGTCATTTTGGTCGTTTTTTTGTTGTTTTTTGGGTCCCTTTTCATTTTTGTATTGGTTTGTACATCTCAATGTTTGGATACTTAAACAGTCAACTGACCTATTTTGGAAACCCCCACTACTCATATTATCAGCATTAGCACCATTTCCCCTTTGATTAATTGTAACTTTGGTAATGTATGAATATTTTAAATCAATTTTATGAAGATCAGTATCTGCTAAGATGAAAAAGACCCTGCTCTGATACCTAATTACGGGCCTTAGATCTCCAGTATAACTGTACAGCATAGATTGTACAGTAGGGGGAGGAAGGGGAGGAGCTTGGGACCCTTATAGGTGCCCAGATGCCCTTTTTTGTTTGTCCCACTATACACATCTCTAACATGTTGGTGTGTTTCCTCTTTTCTCTTAGGACCAGTACAAGTTTTGCTATGAAGTGGCGCTGGAGTACTTGAACTCTGGGTAACTCGGAGCTGCTGAACCCACCAGAGACTTTAAAATTGGGACATTACAGCAGACTGCAGCTCACATGTGTGCATTGTGCTAAGTGTGTGTGTTGCTAACTGGACAGGAGCGAGGTACACACACAACCATACATGCAGCTCCTTTGACCAGCTCCCCCTTTTCCTTCTTGTCAGTGTAAATGGGGAAGGTAACAGAGTTGTACAGTGTTAAATATCGCAGCCTGTTTCTGTCAGTATCGGCTGAGGAAGCCAGCAGGAGCACAATGAAGTTGTTTTTTTCTGCTCTGCAGTGAGCCGCCTCTCTCCGGAGCCTTCTTTCTCTCTGCATCGCTCTCTCAGCCGCCTGTAGTCCCGTGGTTGTTGCCTTGATCCTCATTGGACGATAAGCGTTAAATACTTTGTGGAATGCGATACACTGTACATAATGTGTTGATTTTATTCTCTATTTTTTTTTTTTACTTTTAAAAGTCATTTAATGCAGGAGCTCAAAGCCTAAATGTTACTAAATGTCCTGTAAATCGATGATTATTGCTTCATACTGTGTGTTGGGGACAGCTGGCTCAGTCTACATCTGCTTTCCTTATTTCCTGTACAGGGATCCAAAGCTTTATTTGCACTCCCATTTGAATTCTCGTTGTGCATATTGTACATATTTCTGTAGATTATTTATTCACAGTATGTACTTTTTTTGTGACTCGCAGTAAGTGACAATCATATGTTCTATAGGTTTGGGTTATTGACTGTAACGTGTGCTCTCTCTTTTTTCTTTTTTTTGTCATCTTGTGTGACAGATCGATTCCATTGTAAAGAAAAAAGATATTCTATAAATGTATCTACAATATGAACATTGGATTATGTGTTGATTCCTCTTGTCTGAGGGAAGTTGGAAAAGATGACATTAGGGCGACATCTGTTGGCGAGATGAGGAATAACACACAGCTCCATGTTTACACTTTTTACTGGCGCCTAAGTATTAAACCGTTTTCCTGATTTATCTCTTCAATCAAGCTGTTGTACTATTATACGAATGATGTCTTGCATACACTTTGAAATTGGATATAGTTGGTATGAAGCTATATTTGTTCAATGATTTTAAAATATAAGTTTTCACAGGCTGAACAGTGACAACATGGACCCTGATTGGACAGCAACGTTAATACGGGTAAAATATCGTAAGTCGTGCCAAATGTCTTCTAATACGCAGATTTAAGAAGAGATTTAGAGATAGTATGATAATGTTGAACAGTTGGACTCAAAATATGCTTTTTGTAATTTAAAAACACAAAAACGATTCTAACATTTTTAAGCTGATAACTATGATTCTAATATAGGAATATAACAGTTTACTGTTACATGTAGAGCAGGCATGGGCAAACTCAGGCCCGCGGGCCTTATACGTCCCGTTGGGCTTTTGAATCCGGCCCGCCGAATATTGGTACACAATTGTCCAAATTATAGTAAAGACCGCATTCATTTTGCCTTTTTCCTGCAATACCCGGCATTTCAGTTGATCCCACTAGATGGCGCACTCTAGACACAATTTACCTTTGCTGGAGTCTGGTCTATTCTCTCAGCTGGCCCCACTCGGCAACCCGGCAAGATCGGCGAATACAAGTTGTAACAAGCAGTAGCGCTGAGCAAAGTGACTAGAACGCGACCACACACGTATAGCAACACTAACGAGGCTTAGTGTGATTCTGTTTATTTTGACCTTACTTTAATAACCATCCGTTCACTTTTATTGACCATTGTGAAGAGGTAGACGTTTTCCTTCTGTTTTGTATTATTGCAACTATCGGATGGAATCAATACATGGGCTACATGTGGCCATCAGAAGTAAAATCATAACAAAAACTACGCCGGTAAAATATGCGTGTAGAAAACGGCTTATGCCACAATATGATAGCAACAAGTAGTCGTCTGATTAGCTAACGTCACTTGTAGAATGCCAGAGAAACTTTCATAACAGCGTTGTGATGCCAAACAGCTTTCAGACTAAAACACATTCACTTGCAGAGGCGCGGGAAGGTATTTTGAGTGGGGGTGCTGAACTCCAGTGAACACTATTACGGGCACTATAGGGCACGCACAAAAAAACTCCCCACACACAAACACACAGTAAACCCGCGACTGTTACAATGAAGGCTCGATAATCAGCTCACGGCATATAGGCAGGGGTAAAGTGCTATTTTTTACGAGTGGGGAGTGGACCTCACCTCCTCTAGGGGGGTCCGGGGGGATGCTCCCCCGGGAAGATTTTTTTTAAATATTGAAGTTAAAAGCATCAATCTGGTGCACTTTGAGAGCAACATATGGATACATCTCTCAACACCCAGATGAAACACAACTGTAAGCAGATGTTCTTTTTCTTTATGGATATTTTACAAATCACTCCCCTTTCAAACTGTATTCTTGTTTTACTGCCATATAGTATTTCATAACTGTTTTTCCTTTATTCTCTTATTTTTTTTATAACTATAATGATCATATGAAGGTGTGCCGCGGAAATAATCTTTTGAATAATTTTTGACCAAACCGTTTGAGACCCACTGAGATAACTTAGACTAAAGTTAACTATCTAAACACTCAGAGAGTCCTTTAGCTCACCTGAGCCTCTCAGTCTGAGAGGAGAGCTCTCCTCCAGCTTGTTGTGGAACAAACAGCTCCGTATGTCCGTTAGTGCAGCTAGCTAACCAGATGCTAACAACACGCTCCCTGCTGCTGGCACCGGTCCCTCTCTCTCTCCCCCTCTCTCACACACACTAAATGCGCTATTTCCGCACACACACAGAGCCGCGAGCTTGAATGACACAAGCACACTTTTATTTCCATGCAACTCTCTGATTGGTCTGGTGTCTTGCCTCTGTTGCATTCACTGAACACGGGAAATTACAGTCCTGCCGTCCTTTCTAGTGTCTTGATGAGGTTCACGTAAAGCACGGTTAATGTATTATATTATTGAGGTAGAATTGTCCGGGGCTACAGAAAAAACATTCGGGGCAGGCCAAAATATTATTNTGCGTGCGTGCGTGCGTGCGTGTGTGTGTGTGTGTGTGTCTGAGTGTGTGTGTGTGTGTGTGTGTGTGTGTGTGTGATCAGAGCTCTGCTGCCTTGGCTACACTATTTCATCATTGCTGTTGTATGATGTGTGTTTAACTACGGTATTTAGCGTCTACAGCACCTCCGCTTTTAGGGTTGACGTAGACCCGGAGGTCCCCCGGTGTTGCTGCGGAAGCTGCTCCACTAGCTAACGCTAAATTAGCTAACGCTACATTAGCAAAACAAACGCTATTTTTTTTTTGCAAAAGGTGCGGCGGGCTTCAAACACGTTCCCCTCCACTGGTTTCAACCAAACACTAAATTCGAGGTTTTCCAACCAAATACGGTTGAACTTACACTTCCCCATATGAATTAGTAAGTAGATTCGAAGATACCTGAGTTTCTGACTGCCGCTAGCTGAAGCTAGGTTACTAGCTTGGTGTTCTCCAATAAGGGGCCGGGGGAAACAAAGTTAGTGATTACTGGTTCCATGTTGATTTAATTCAATACAAATTGTTGGGGGGAACTGAAAGGCTCTTACTGTACTGGTTACTTTGCAGCCCGGACATTTCCCCCAAAACACATTTAGATGCTAACGCAACACAGAAGTACCTTTCAAATCCCATCATTTTTAAGACCTTCTAAATCATATTTAAGACCTTTCTTATTTTTTTGGTCAAATTTAAGACCTTTTTAAGGCCTTAAATTCAGATTATCAAATTTAAGACTTTTTAAGACCCCGCGGGAACCCTGGTCTGAAAGCAGAAGTCTAGGGAGAATAATTGCAAGTCTCTTCAGTGAGAATGTCACAAAATGATTTTTTTTCAAGTGAAATTCTGGAAAATAAGTAAAAAAATAAAAAAAAATCAAATTTTGAAGAAAGAAATTCTAATTCTGAGAAAAAAGCAAAATTCTGAGAAAATGCTAATTTTAGGAAAAAGCCAAATGTTGAGGCAAAAAAGTCAAATTCCGAGTAAAAAAAGAAATGAGATGCATTGTGGGACATGTAGTTTAAGGGCTTCTGTAAAGCGGCATGTCACCGTATAATAAAGTTATGATATTCTTTCAGAGCTCTTGCGGGCCACAGACAATGAGGTGGTGGGCCGGATATCTTGAGTTTGACCCCCTGCTTTATAGGAAACGGTTAAGCTCTTGGCCATGAGGAACCAGAATGAGGTGACGAGGCCTACCTGCTGACGGGGCTCATGTAGTTCCCGGGGAACACTCCGATCTTCCCGGTGTGCATGGAGGTCCCTTTGAACCATCCGTCCTGACAGCGCTCCAGAACCAGGAACATCTCCCCCTTCCTCAGCTCCAACTCGTCCTCCTTACGGGGGCCGTAGGGGAACATCGCCACGTAGCTGCAGCGAGGACACAACTCGTTAAAACACTGTTTGGAAAGGTCTTAAGGCTGCAGATGGACCTCCAGCTACAACAGCAACGTGACTTTGTGTTCCATTGGACTCCGCACGAGGACGGTCAACCTGTAACCAATGGTTAACACAAACTGCTCTTGGCTATGAGAAACCAGAAGGAAACTACATTTAAATCAGATTATAAAGATACATTCGTAATAGAAATGATTGAGAGAGTGATTCTGTGTGAATTCTATTCCCCTGATTTAGCAGACTGTAAAGAAGTGTTGTTTCTTTGATGTTAGTCTTCATTCAGTCGTCAGAGCTGTGTCCTGTCAAATGATCACATCATCATTTAAAACATATAGTCTCATACTCTGATTGCCTTTTGTTCAACTGTATTGTTAGTCTTGTGTGTGTTTAACAGAGACAGATGTTAGGATGTACATGTCAGGAGGCAAAGGAAGTAAAAGGTGGATTCAGGTGGTTAAGGACTGGAGGGTTTCTGGTTTGATGGTGGGACGGAGGAGCAGCTGGTTCCTCTCATGAACACACAGAGACTGAGGGCAGAGCCTCTCTCTCCTCTGAGGAGGAAGCTCAGGGTTCAT